CCGGACCCCCCACCCCGCCCCGCCTGCTGCAGACACACCCTCCCTGGCGTCCGGGGCGTCTCATCCCCCTGGTGCAGCCCCCGGAGTGAGAGGTTTGCTTAGACCGGGGGCCTACACCAGTGGCCGGCAAACTCATTAGTCAACAGAGCCAACTAGCCACAAGAGGATGATCGAAATTTCTTTTGAGAGTCACATTTTTAAACGTAAACTTCTTCTAATGCCACTTCTTCCAAATAGATTCGCCCAGGCCATGGTATTCTGTGGAAGAGCCACACTCAAGGGGACAAAGAGCCGCGTGTGGCTCGAGAGCTGCAGTGTGCCGACCACTGGCCTACACCAACATCCTGTGGCCGCTCCATGGCAAAACCTGGCCCAGATTCCAGACTCTGGCCTCAGAGGACCAAGTCCCCAGCGCCTTGCACAGTGTTAGCGGCCGAAGCACCCAAGGTGCTGTCCGGGCCCCAGCCCCTCGGAGCAGGTGTGGTGCCCACAACTACAGACTTGGGGCCTTTTGGGGGTTAGAGGGGTGCAGCCAGCTGGGTCCAGAGCTATGGCCCCTGCTCAGAGTCCCAAAGGAGCAGGTGCACCTGAGCCCGGCAGAGTCCTGGCCCAGCACCCGTCCTGGCCACGAGCAGCCGGCACCCCAAGAGCGATGCTCGGAGTTCCCATGAGTACAGCTAGCCATAGTTAGAGAGGCAAGAGTGAACCCCCAGCTGCTGCTGGGTCTGGGTGAGCTCCTAGGGTCCTGGCAGTGAGTGCTGGAAGCTGGGCCCCTGACCTGTCCATCCCTGCCTCCCATATCCAACGGAGGGGTCCATAAAAAGGCAAGGGTCAAGGTTACCCCAAAACCCTGCCTCTCACTCCGTGGACACCCGGCTCCCCATCCTGCCCCCTCATGCTCTCCATCTGCATTTAAAAAGCACCTACTTCGTGCTCGGCCCCTCGGCTAGACCCCGGGGAGTCCCTGTTCATACAGGAGGGAGACCACGTGGGGCCACGTGGGGTGGGCGTGGCAGCGGGTTTATCCCGAGCTTCTCCAGCTCTATCCACTGAGTCCTTAAAGAGGGGCGGCTCCCAGGGGGCCCTGCCAGTCGGTCCGGCCCCGGCTTGGATGCCTCCAGGGCCTGGATCACTCCCCACCCCACCCGCTCCGTCACCCAGAGCCCAGAGAGGGGAGCTCATACACTCAAGGTCGGATAGCAACTACGTGCTGAGGTTTGCTGTGGGCACACCCCAGCCTCCTCCGGGCCTGGCTGCCCTCAGGCACAGTTAAAGCCAGGCAGGCCTGCCCTCCCCTCCCCTCCCCGGGTACCTCCAACCCCCTCCTCATCGTCCCTAAACGCCTTCCCTCCAGGTGCAGCTCAAAGAACCCGCCTCCCTCTAGCAGCCTCCAGCCTCTCACTCAGGGGCTCAGGGTGGAGCGTTGACTTAAGAATCAGGAGGTCACTGCTCGGTTCCGGCCAAGGGCACATGCCCGTGTTTGCGGGCTCGATCCCCAGTAGGGGGCACGCAGGAGGCAGAGAACCAGTGATTCTCCCTCATCAGTGATGTTTCTCTCTCTCTCTCCCCCCCTTCCTCCCTGAAATCATATATATATATTTAAATACATATTATATATAATATGTATTTAAATATATATTTATATAAATATATTTTATTGATTTTCCACAGAGAGGAAGGGAGAAGGACAGAGAGCTAGTAACATTGATGAAACACACCCCCAAGAAGGTGCATGCCCTTGACCGGAATTGAACCTGAGACCTTTCAATCGCAGGCTGACGCTCTATCCACTGAGCCATATATATATATATATATATATAAAAATTTTTTTAAAGAGTCTTCAGGCTCTCTACACCTCCCGGCTCCCCTCCCAGGAGCCCACTCTCAGCTCTCCCCCTCCCCCTGAAGTACCAGTCCCGGTTGGAGCACCGGGCTCTGGCCTGCGGGAACTCTCTGGCCCCCGCCTCCCCCGCCCCCCCCCCCCCCCCGCCGCCCTCACTCCCGGTGAGTGGGAGCCCTGTCCCGGGCCGGTCCATCTGGCCCGGTTCTTACAGGAACACAGCCACCCTCACTGGGGCCACATCCCGACCAGGACCTGGTCTTCCCGGGAAGGGGAAGTGTCTGCCGGCCCCATGGCTCCCCTGAGCCAGAGGCAGACCAGGGTGCGAGGGGCGCCCGCCGCACCTCCGAGCCCAGCCGCCCGGGGCCCGGCCAGAGGCTCCGAAACTTGCAAGCGACTTCGGCGGAGACCAGCCCCTTCCCGACCGCGCTGCTTCCCAAGGGTGTCCCCAGCCTGGGCGCACCCCGGATTCTCTGACTTACACCCACCCGCCCCGCACACACCCCCACCCGCCCCGCTCTGCAGATGAGCCCGGAGTTGGCGCTGTCACGGCGCAGCCCGGCACGGTCTCCGCCGCGCCCCCAGCCTCCCGCCCCGCGGAGGGCCCCCTCGGCCCTTGTGCGGGGACGGAGCCCCGCCCAGCCCGGGGCGCAGACCCGGCAGGGATCCCCGATCTTCCCAGCCTGGAGGCAGCCCCGCCGGGACCTACCCGCTCCACATCCCGGAGCTCTGGGCGCCGGGCGTCCGTCCCGCCGCCGCCGCGACCCCCGGCCCCGCGTCCCCGCCGCCGCCTGTCCGCCCGCCCGCGCCCCGGCCCGTCAGCCCGAACCCTGCCCGCGGGGTCACGTGGCGCAGGGCGGCCGGGGGACACGTGCCCGGCCCCGCCTCCGCCGCCGCCGCCGCCGCCGCCGCCGCGGGGACTGGCCGCCGGCGCGGGGAGGAGCCGCATCCATCGCCCGCGGCTCCGGGGCTCCAGGCTCCCGGGCTCCACTCTGGTCCGCCGCTCCGCTCCGGACCCACCGTGCTCCCGGCTTTCCGCTTCCTGATTCCGGTGGGATCGCACTCTGGGTCAGCACACCCTCCACCCCAGGGCCGAGCTCCCCGCCCCAGCTGCCCCCCGACAGCACCCCCGGAGGCAGCACCCCCCTCCCGTGACAGCACCCCCCGGGACAGCACCCCCCCTCGGTGACAGCACCACACACCACCCCCCCCCCCCCCCCCCCCGTGACAGCACTCCCCCCCCCACAGCGCCCCCTGGGACAACCCCCCCCCCACAGCACCCCCCCCTCGATAGCACTCCCTGGGACAACACCCCCTGGGACAGCACCCCCACCCTCGGTGACAGCACCCCCTGGGACAGTCGACCCCCCCCCCGACAGACCCCAAAGAGTGGGTTCCAGGCAGGAGCCACCGTGTCCCAAGTCACCAACCCTCACCCTGGCCCACAGTCCTCTCTCTGGAGCAATGCACCACCCCCCACCCCCAACACACACCCCTGTCTGCTCCCACAGCCTCTGCACAACTCCCTGAACCCCAGACCCTGGGCCCTCGTGCACCTCAAACTCCCTGACCCTCGCTGCCCTCGTGAGCTGTGACCTGGGTCCAGGGACAGCACAGCCTCCTCTTCGGGGGCCCATGACTCCCGCCCCCCGTTCCCGGGCCTGGAAGGAGGTACTTCCCACAGGGCCCAGGCTTGGCTTGGTCAGGTTTCCTTCTGGGGCACCTCTGTATTCCATTCAGTCATTCACTCATTCACACAGAGAACAAACTGGGGACCTTACAAGAGCTGGGGACCCAGAGGGAGCGGCTCTGGGACGGTGGGGGGATGGGAGGACGGGCCACACTTTCCGCCTCCACGTCCAGGGCCATGGCTTGCCCAGGGCGCTTCTGCTGCCGCCACCTTCCGGTTTGTCCAGAACAGAGAGCAGTTCCTTCCCTCGGGGCTCAGCTTACCCGGGCTCAGGGCTCCGTGAGTGGAGCAGCCAGGCTTCCGGTTTCCTGGGCCAGCTCCTGGACAGGGACCCCCTGGGCCTCCTCTGAGTGAGTCCTTCCAGAATCATCCCGCCCACACCCCCCAGCCCTCAGTCCGCAGGGCAATGGTTTCCAAGACCCTGGTTCCCCAAGGACAGGGACCAGCTCCTTCCTGGGTGCTACCCACCCCACCCCACCCACCCCACCCTAGCCCAGCCCAGCCCTGCCCAGCCCACCCTACCCCAGCCCAGCCCAGCCCAGCCAGCCCCCAGGGTCTGGCTGAAAGCAGATGTCATCGTGTTTGTTGATTTGTCACCAAACCTGCTGTCCGCCTGGCCCTGTTTACTATTTAGGGGAAGAGGGAGGCGACACACAGCTCAGCAGGACCCTTCCCCTCCATCCTCACAGCCCGGACAGGAGACACCAGACACGGGAGGGCCGGGAGGAGGGCTGGTGGGCTGAGATGCTTGAGCGACACCTCAGCAGATGAGTGTGGGGTCACCATTCTGGGAGCAGTGACACCCCGATTACTAACCAGAACCATCCCACCACCTATGGATCCAGTTATCCGGGACCCGCAGGCTCACCAGCTTCTCCCACCGCCCAGCTCGCCCTCCTGCCCGCCTGGAAAGGCTGGGCTCAGAGAGGGTCAGGCACCTGCCTGAGGCCACACAGCCAGAGGCGACGGGGCTGAGACCCCTTGTACCAGCGTCCTGAAAAGACAGCCCAGAAACCACTGGAAGCTACCGCCGCTCCCAGGCGGCACCGAGGGGAGCCGACCAGGTGCGGGGAGAAATAGAAAAAGGCGTGTCCTCTGCCCCGAGCCACTGCCCCCCAATCTCCCTCCCCGGCAACGTCCTGGCTGACCTGGCCCCCCAGCCCAGCTCCGGCCCTTGGCTGGAGCGGGGTGTGGAGCAGAGCTGCCCGCCTGGACAACCTGTCTCCTGACTCTGTCCTCGGCCCACGGCGCTGCCCGGGGACTGACAGCTCCTCTCTGAGCTTGGACTCTGCGGCTGCAGAACCACCAAGCTGGGCAAGGAGGGCCGCCCCCTCGCTGACCTCATAAGAGGCTCACATCATTCCTCCCAGCGCCAGGCCAGTCCCTGTGCGAAACCTGGATCTCACCCTCCCCTCGCCCCCTGGGGAGCGGCAAGGTCCCCCTCCCCTCCGCGCCCTGGGTCCCACTTACCTGTCTGAGTCCGGGGGCTCCTCTCCCAGGCTCCCCTCCAGGGCAGGGCCCAGACCTGACGGGGCATAGCGAACAGTCCCTGAGCTCACCGCCAGGTACACGGGGCACTTCCCGCGGGCAGGGCAGCTGGGGCGCTCCTCCGGGGGGTTCATGCCTGGAGGGCGGACTGAGGGTCCCTCTGGAGAGGCGGGCAGGCGGGCAGGTGCCGAGCCCTCTCCCCGGCCCGGCTCACGCTAACCTTTGCTATCTCTGCGAAGCAGCTGCCTGGGAGGGCGGAGCCTCCGGACAGGCCTCTATCTCCTCAGACCCGTAATTATTAACTCCCCTGGCTCTGCAGGCCCCAGAGAGCGCTGGGGCCCTCCTTCAAGGCTCTGGGCCTGGGAACGGGGCCCTCAAAGGCTGCGGGAGCCTCCTCCGCGGGCCCCAGGCCCCAGGCTCCAGCTAGGCCCTTCCCTGCTCGCCTGCGTGGGCACTGGGCAGCCTGGCCGGCCCTGGCTCTCTCCCTCGCTGGCTGTGTGGCCCTGGGTATGGCCCCCTGCTCCCCAACCCTAACCCCTGGCCTCCCTGTCCCCTTCACACCCGCAGCCGCCCGCAGAAAGGGGCAGCTCAGCGAAGTGGTCTGGGGCCACACAGGCTGGACTCAGGCCCTCTCCCAGACTGCGAACCTCTGGACACATGGGGCTCTCCATGCCTCAGTTTCCCCAGCTGTGCGAGGGCATCTCAGCCCCTCGATGTCCCTGCCCAGATATGGCCGACAACCTCCCTCCCCTCACATTAACCCTCTCCCTCCGGTCTGCACCCGCCCCAGCCCGCTGGCGAATCTCTCTTCTGCTCACGCCCCTCCTCCAGGGGGCCTCCTCCGTGGTTGCTCTCTCACACCGAGAGCCCTGGGGCCCCTCCTCTGGCTCACGGCAGCCTCATCCACCCGGAGGGGCTGGAAGCTTCGCCCCGACCCATTCGGCCTGAATTCGAACCCTGGTCCTGCCACGCCCTGGCTGTGTGGCCTTGGGCCAGTCACTGAGCCTCTCTGGGACTCAGTTGCCTCATCTGTAAAATGGGGACAGTTCTGCCCTGGGACGTTGCGAACACCTCAGGAAGTAGCATTTGTGAAGTGGCTGCCAAGGTGGAGACCGACCTTTCCTGTCCCTTCGCCCCTGCTTCCCTCTCTCTCCGGTCAGCCTCCGAGTTCCCGCTGGGAGCAGCTGCCGTCCGGCTAGCAGTCACGCCCCGCCCGCCCGACACCGCCCGCGGATAACGGTATCTCCCTCTCGGCCTTGGGCTCCAAGCTCTCAGCCTAATGCAAACCAGATGTGGCCTCCCCTTCCTGGCGGAGAATTTTCCACGGCCTGCTCCCACCCCCTTCCTGTTTTTGCTCCTCACTGATCCCCTGCGAAATTCTTCTGTGCCCCCACCTTCCTCTGCAGGCCACCTCTGGGCCCACCTGGAAACAATTAATGGGAAACAGGATGTGTGAAGGGGGGGCGTCACCCCAACATGGCAGGAGGGGAAGGGGCTATGTGAGAGAGAGCCCTCCCTGCCACGTCCCAGCCACGGGGGTGGGGTGGGGTGGGGTGGGGGTGGGGGAAACTGAGTCAGAGTGGCTTTGGGAAGTGTGTAGAGTAAAAAACGTGGCTGTTCTCTGGACACGTGGCACCGCACCGCTGGGGCAGGTGGGCGCTGGGCGGGGCTTATCCCCCGGGGGCGGGGGGGGGGTGAGGGGTGGGGAGAGCTGGGACGTCTTAGGCAAACCCCAGCCCAAGAGGCCACCCCGCTTCCTGTGGCAGGTGAAGAAGCCGAGGCTCCTCTGAGACTTGTCCCGTCACAGAGGAGCCGGAGGCTGGAGGCAGCTGAGACTGCCTGCCAATCAGAGCCGCAGCCCCGTCACCTCGGGGATGCTGTCCCAGCGCCTCCCCCTCCTGCCCCCCACCCCCTGCCTAGTCACGAGGGGAGGCTCACGGCTGCTCGCCCCGGCTGCTCGCCCCGGCTGCTCGCCCCGGCTGCTCAGCCTCCTCCCACAGCCCAGCAGCCCTGCCCTCCCCCTCGCCCCCGGGCCTCGGGTGAGCCCCTGAGCCAGGGCACCCCTCAGGGCGCCAGGGCGGCCCCTCCCCGTGAGGTCTCCACTACTCCATCCGCCCAGGGCTGGGCGCCGGCAGCCCCTCCCTCCGCCAGCTGTGCAGTGTTTGGACAACTGGATGGAATGTTCTGTGAGGAGAGTCCTCCTGGGTCCCTGAGCTCAGATTTCGGGGGGGGGGGGGGGGAGCGAATGCCGGCTCCAGGGAGAGGGGAGGAGGCTCCAGAAGCCAAACGTGGGCCTGGAGGCTCCCCTCCCAGGCCTGGCCACTACCCAGCCCCCCCCTGTCACTGCACCATCCCCCCTCCCAGGCCTGGCTACACTGCTGTCCCCCTTCCCCCCAGGCCTGGCTACCATGCTGCCCCTCCTCCCAGGCCTGACCACCGCACCGCCCTCCAGCTGGGCTCAGCGAGGTGGCAGCTGGAGTCGGGCCCCGGCCCTGAGGAAGGACAGGATGGAGTGGGGCAAACAGTCCCGATAGTGGATCGGGCCGCCCTGTGAGGTCAGGCCCAGGGCCGGGCTGGGCTCCAGGAGGGCCAGCCCAGGACGGCATTTTGAAAACCTTAAGCTCTCAGTAAGGATTGTTCTACGCTCTTCCCCCCCACCCCCCTTTTCTTTTACAGATTGGGCATCTGGGTGTAGAGGGGTCAGGGCAGAGCTGGGCTGGGATGCAGCTCCTGATCACAAGCTTGCTCCAGCTGTCCCCACTCGGACCCCCACCCTCCCGCCCCCCAGCGGATTGTCGTCATCCCTGCTCTTCCCCATGACCCGCTCTGTGCTGTGCTCTGGGGTCACAGAGAGCTCACAGGCCTGGGCTCCCCGCCAGCCAGCGCTGACGCCTCCGACAGGGTGGAGGCCCCGAGAGCCAGGATGCCTGGCAGAGCGCCCACGTCTCCGCCGCCCCCGCGGCCAGGCCTCCCCGAGCCCCCAAGGACGGTGTGTGTGTGTGTGTGTGTGTGTGTGTGTGTGTGTGTGTGAGGCTGGGAGCCTCGCCCCTGCTATACTTGGCCATCGTATTCGTGGGCGCTGATGGAGACTGAACTGTCTCCCAGTGACAAACCCCTTTGTGCTCCACGCAGAGCGGAGGGAGGAGAGGCCTGGGCCCGATGGGGGTGGGAGTCCCACCAAGGTGCCTGCGGCCTGGGCTGGACCCCTAGGGTGGAGCCTGTGGTCTCACCCAACTCCCAAGCAGAAAGCAGCCGCCTAAGGACTTCCGGAGCCGGCCAACCTCCGGGGCAGAGGTGGGAGAGGGAGGGGAGGACACGCCCACACAGACCCCTGGGGACTGCGGCTGGGACCAGGCTGGGTTACCGCATTTGATACCAGGCTCAGTTCACCCTCGCAACCACCCACTGCGGTCCCTCTTTGCCTTCTGTTCCCGAGTTAAAGATGCGGGAACTCTGAGCGCGGCTGGCGTGGCTCAGGGGTTGAGCGTCAACCTGTGTGAACCAGGAGGTCAGGGTTCGATTCCCAGCCAAGGGCACATGCCCAGGTTGTGGGCTCGATCCCCAGTAGGGGGCGCGCAGGAGGCAGCAGATCCATGATTCTCTCTCATCATGGATGTTTCTGTCTCTCCCTCCCTCCTGCTTCCTCTCTGAAATCAATAAAAAAATATATTAAAAAAAAAAAAAAAAAAAGATGAGGGAACGGAGACTTGGAAGGCTAAATAACATGGCAACAGAAACCAAGCGGTGGGCTCAGGGTTTTAACCCAGGCGGTCTGACTCCAACGCTCATGCTCTTCCCACTCCGGCATTAGCTCTCTCGGGAGGAGGGGTAAGGAGGGATGAGGTGGGGCTGTTTGGAAAAAGGAGGGCTTGAAAGAAGAACACGACTTAAATAGATAGAAAGGAATAAAGAGAAAAGCCAAGGAGGCCGGGCCTCCCATGGAGGGGGCGGGCAGGGCCCGTAGAGAGAGAAGTAGACCACTGCCCGGGCCCTCGAGCTAATGTGGGGACAGAGAGGAAGAGGAATCTCGGAAAGCCTTGGGGGGGGGGGGGTGTCGAGTGAACGAGTCTGGACTTGATGCTGAAGGCCAAGGCGACTCCGAGCCGGAGAGCCTGAGCGGGGAGATGAACTTGACAGCGGCGCGAGGAACACACGTGGACACCCATCAGATATCCAGCGAAGGACGGACTTTCTAAACTTAGAAGCGATCGAAGCGTTCTTGAGAGAAAAATCAATAGATCTGCTTACATCCGGATTTAAAGCTTCCCTGTGTTCCTCCCGTGTCCCCAAGCCAGCCAGCGTGAAAGGCAGGCAGCCTGAGGACAGTATGCCCGGCCAGAGGCAGCGCTAAGATCTTTACTGTAAGAACAATTCACACAAAACACCAGGAGAAAGCCCCAGGGAGCTCACTCACAGCTCGTTCATCCACCCAGCGGCTGTGGGCTGCGCACCTGTGCCCGGCACCGAGGAGACGGTGGCGGGCGAGTCGGGGTTCCTGCACCCCTGAAGCTTACAGTTTGGGGGGCGGTGAACGTGGAGGCGTTCAGACATCCAATGACAACGCCGTGCGACAGGCACAGGGGTGGGAAGGACCTCAGGGAAGCCTAACCTAGACTGGGGACTGGGGCCTATTTCCACGGGAACGCTGAAAGAGGGCTGTTGAGAGGGAGGAGTCTGGCAGGAGCACCAGAGCCGAGGTCCCGGGGGCCTGGGGTGCTAGGTGAGGGGCTCCAACTTCACACTGGAAGTCAACGGGGAGTCGCTGAAGGGCTCACGCAGGAGAGTAATATGATCGGATTTACTCGTCAAAAAAATGGCGTTCCTAGCTCTCGCTGGTTTGGCTCAGTGGATAGAGCATCTGTCTGCGGACTGGAGGGTCCCAGGTTCAGTTCCAGCCAAGGGCACATGCCTGGGTTGCGGGCTCGATCCCCAGTCGGGGGCATGCAGGAGGCAGCCGATCCGTGATTCTCTCTCTCATTGATGTTTCTCTCTCCCTCTCCCTTCCTCTCTAAAATCAATCAAATATATATATATATTTTAAAAATGGCGTCCCCATGGCCCCTGTGGATGCGTGCGGGAGGATGTCTGCTTCCAGTGAGGTGGTGGGCGTGGGGCCGTGGGGACCTTTCCCACCACAGAAGAACAACATCCCGGAAAGAGAGGCCACGATGGCTCTCAGCTGGTGGCTCCGTTGTCTACCAAGGTC